GAGGGAGGGGGTGGAGGGGGGGGGGGGGGGGGGGGGGGGGAGAAAAACGGAAAACGTTGTTGAGATGAAAACATGTATATTTTCTCTTACAAGATACGGATATTCAAAATAAATAAATGATCACATACAAGAGGTAGAAAAGAAAAAATGCAGCTTTTCAAAATCGAACACGTGTATAAAAGACATAAAAAAAGAACAAAGCTGAGATTCAATTTGGCATGTAAATTCATTACACTTCGATTTGACATAATAGAAGATTCAATAATAAGACTGTAAATGAAAAATATTTATACATTTGTGCGATCATAGAAAATGTTAATCAGTATTTACATGTTAGTTTGCTGAACATTCTATAGTGTAAATGGAAGTCAAATGGAGCGGAATGCTAAGTGAACAAACTTTAAGTAATTAATAATAATTTATGACAAATGTTAATCATTTCTTATAGAAAAATATGAAAAATGGAACTGCTCCTTTGCAGAATAGATGGGATAAATATTAATACATTTGTATAAATCAAATGTGATTAGAGTAAAAACAAGAATTAAAACAGTGTTTGTTCATCTAACCACTAAATTATGCATTTATATACAGCATTCTTGTACTGGCATAGTTTCCAAAGCACAATATAATGCATTAACAACTCTATACTGCATACACCTGGTATTTAGCAATTTTGTTTTCCATAAATATGCTATTTTAAATAAAATAATAAAATGTATGCGCAGCCAGTACAGAAGATTGTTAAAACTTACTGCAGCGAGAATGTTAAAATATAAAAGAGAAATTAAGTTGCAATTGTTTGTAGATATTAACCTTCAACCTTTCCTTTCTAATTTCTAAGTATGTGGCATTTTACCAAATTTCTTTTAATACTGTTGTAAAGTTAACTACTTTCGATAGAACTACTACTAAACGCCTCATTTCGGCAAACTAATTAACATGCACGCAGAGCTATTATTTAATAACCCAAAATCATTATTCTTAGTCGAATAGTTTTGACATTTCAGCTGGAGATAATTTATATTCATACTTCTCCTCATCTGGATCTTGAGCCCTCAAAAAAAGTGCAAGTACTACCATACAGAAGCCAAGAACAATGGCTACTAGAACAATAACAGTTATGACTACTTTTTCTGTTGTAACAACTCCATTCATGTTTTCAAGAATAGATAAGGCTAAAGGTGACAGCAATTCAGATCGTAACTCTGCAAAAAAAACGTTATACATGTTTCGTCAAAGAAATACAAAGCGAATAGGTTTTATTCTTATACTTCAATGATTTAAAATCTTACTCAGTGAAAATCTGTAAGGAATATATCTATTTAATTCCACAACATATATTTCTGTACCATTCTGAGATACAGCTATATCATGTGGACTATTCATATCTAGTCTTGGACCAAATTTGTATAATATATCTCCTGAATTTACATCCAGAACAATTCCTCGGACACGTATATTGGAACGTGTAGTAGGACCATTAATCAAATGAAGTTTTTCTTTGGCATATGCTACGCTATATATATATGGACCAATAATGTTAGGATTCTTGTACTCTTTGTGGAAAGTTCCATTAGTTGCATAAAAAGATACAATTCTGCCATTTTCTCTATCAGCAACAAAAAGTAAGTTCAGTTCACTGGCAAGTGCTAAAGCATGGGGTACGTTAAATGTATTTTGTAGAGGAGTTTGTCCATATATGCTTTCTATAAAGTAAAGTATATTATAGACTATATTATAATTCAATCTAAATAGTTAATTTTCATATAAAATGCATGTACCTACCGCGGCCCCAGTGTAGAATTCTTTCTCCTTTAGCATTGAATTTCAGAATTCTAGCATTACAGTAACCATCGCTAACAAAAAAGTCACCATTATTTTCTACAGCAACTGCTGTTGGTTTGCAAAACCGTTTATCATCATTACCAGGCACAAAAGCTTCTCCAAGAATCAACGAAGGTCTTAAATGCTTTTCTTGACTGTATTGTCTTTTTCTCGAACTTGGTAAATCTTTCATCATTTCTATATCTTTAGCATCAAATTTAAGTACCTGATGTAGAGCTACATCGGTAATCCAATAATTTCCATGCATGTCTATCGTCAAACCATGCGGTAAATAAAATTTGTATGCACCCCATTCTAATATCCTTTCTCCAATTTTATTTAACAAAACTACGGTGTTTTCCCGAATTGGGCCTTCTTCTTTATTAAATATATTTTGAATATTAAACGTAGTCGAGCCCCATACTCTGGATCCTCTATGAAATATCGCAACGTTTCCATCTGGATCTATAGAGACTGCTGATAACTGGCCCATTTGTTCGATATTCCTTGGCCATTGAGGACTCCATTCAATACCTGAATATATGAAGAAACTTAATACGTATAATATATATGATATTTTAAATCTTACTTTGATAAATATTTTATTAACCTTTAGCAAATGTATCTGAAACTTTATCATTATCGGAGAACTCTAAATACTCACCATAGTCAGATTTGTTCTTGCCCGAATAACTTGTTCCACGCTGTAACATTAAATTAATGAAATTAATTATAGAACATAAAAGTATATATCCGTTTATTAAACGGAATAGAATGTGCTATGTCTTTGTTTCAAAGGCGCTGAACTTCTTTAAAGCATCGATACAATTAAAAAGTAATCAATTTTATTAGAATTTAAATTACTATATACGATTCTATATTAATACAATAAACAATTTTGAACCTGTTATTCCATAGCACAGCACTTTTTAAACCTCGTATCAATCAAATCTTTAATTATTTCGCATACATCTGTTTTATTTACCTCCAAGTACGGATAAAACTCGTAATTCGCTTCGGCAAGAGATAAATAAGTAAATAAAACTGAAATGCAACAGGCAATGTCATATAGTAAATGCACCATTTTTTAACGACACGATCATTAGATTCCCGTATTCTAAATATATTTTATTAAAATTGCTATGTATTATGGGTCTAAATGTTGATCACGTAGCAAAACACAATCATAAGAAATTAATAATTAAGCAGAGATATGAATTTTGTCAAATTTATAAAGCCTTTTCACACCACGCCACGCGTTACGGTTACTCACGTACGCAACAGGAAACACGAATAGCCATCTGGTGGCAACTCGTCGGGATACATGTAATAAACGATTACACACCTATAAGAGAGATTTGTTAATTTATACGACATTTTTATATTATTTCCATTAGAAATGCATGTGAACGTATTTTTTAGTCGTAACAGCATACTAATATGCATATAAAATACACCTAAAAAACTAAGACAACTGATGTTCGTGAAAGATATTTTTTGAAACTTTACTTCCGCGTCAGTACATAATATATTGATTATTTCCTGCGAAGATTGGCGGCACCTATTTACGTATCTGTTATTTTCAATGCGTAAACAATAATTGAATAGTTGATAAATGATTGGAAAAAGACTCGATATATAATATCGAATTTTTATTTTTACATTTGAAATTATAGACACATATAACGAATATCGACAAGAACAATAAGAAACAATATAAATAACGAATTGAAACTAATTTAAATATTTTTATCTCACGCCAGTCATTAATTAAAGCATTGATAATTTATATATATGTATAACAATATGAATTGCAAAATATAAATAAATTGCTAATTATTTGTACACTTTAACTATCAATAAACTTTTTACTAAAGCAACCGATAAAATTGAATTGAAACAGAATTACAAATTTTTTGAAGCACGTGATTGTTCGTAAATTGGAAATTTTGGAAAGTGTTATAAGAATAAAATTGAATTATCGTCGGTTGCGGTATACATTTTAATTTTAAATAATTAAATGGAAATTAACCCGAATGTATGGCCCACGTGTATACAATCTGCTTTGGATTGAAAACAATTTTTCTCCGAGAATTAATACAGATTTCGGATACAGTCCAATTTAGTACAAGCATAAGTTTGTTAATCATAAATAAAACTGAAAAAATATGCTATTATGAAATATGCTAACGTATTTTCTTTAAAAAATAAAATTTGCTTTTAAATATCTCAATTTTTACTTTTTAATTGTTCCTGTTAATATTCCGACCTCTTACAATTTACAGTCCCTTACAAAACAATAAGAACGCTTCTACAAAGCATCTATGGTATTTTTCCCTGAAATACATATCGTTCAAAACATTCTCAAAACGATTTTCTTTACTTAATTCATTGATCAACGACTTGCGTTGCACCTATGTCGGTAACGATACTCTTCAACTGTACCTACATTTTACTTCTTTGCTTTTTATTTTGGTTATTCTCCGCTGCAAGGCATTACTTGTTCCATTGCCACCCTTGTCGGAACGTCGAATAAATTTAAATTCATATCTTTCATAAAAGGGATAAAAGGGGGAGGATAGGGAATAAAAAAGAACGAGACGGAAGGAAATACGGAAAGTGGAAAGGAAAAAAAGAGGAGCGAGAAAGTGAACGTAAGGCAAAGATAAAGCAGAAAATGGAAACGAAACCTGTAGAAATAGTTTTTAATTTTAGTTTCTACTTTTATTCATTCCAGACTTTTATATTCCATCATTCCAATACTCCACTCTAAATCCATTTTACCACAACTTTATCAAAAGTTCTAGCCGCAAATTGGCTACACCTCGTTTGAGTTTGTTACAAATTTTGAAGCATTTCATTAAAATTCGAAATTTTAACTAATTAGATCGACTAACTGTTGCAAGTAAACTAAAGGAGGGGCAGTAAGATAATGTTTCTAATCCAATTCCGGGAACAATGAATTTGAATTATTCTGACATTTAAGTACATATATTCTACACTGACGATCAGATGCAATTTCTTTCCCATTGTTAATTTAGGATTTTTAATTGTTTTGTGAAACAAATTCAATCTGTCAAATTAAACGTTATCTTAAAACTTACATTCAAATGACATATATACCCGCTGTTTTATAAATGAAACTTGCCTATCGCGCCAACCATTGCTGTAAACGATCTTACCATCTTGTTAAGAACCACAGGCGGTTAATGTAAACCAAGAGGCGGTTAGTTTGTATTTTACTTTCTCTAGCAATTATCACCCCTTCTGTATCCAGATGAAAATCTTTTTAACTAAGTACACGTCTCTCGGGACCTTTTCTCTTTGTACACTGCTATAATGTATCGTTGATATTTCTCAGTTGATCCTCTCCGTATCGTTCTGACGCGAAGCATTCGAGTCAAAGGTCTTTTTTTATCCTTGGTATTACATTGTCGCGTTAGACGTAGACATATTGCGCGCCTATGGCAGCTATTTCGATGAAACGTTCCATTCTTAACATCTCACAGTCAAAAGGGCTTGCCAAGTTTTATTGTCCGAAACTGTGAATCATTGCGACTGTCTAATGGATCTCCAGGGCAAGCTGACGAATGAACTACTCGCTCGAGTAATCAGATAACAATATTCTTCAAATGGGGTCTTCCTCGGAATCATATATCGCGTTGTCAGAATCCTTCAACCAACGTAAAACGCTAACCGCTAGAAATATACTTATTTCGAATTTCTCAATCATTACCATTGGTACAACGGCCGACCTTTTCTCCAATATCATATAATATTATCTTCATCGATTATGTTTCTTTTTTCCAACAACTGAAATGTTTATGACAAAGATTACCCTTGTTCGTGTTTGTCTCTCTTTAGTAGAAGTATTTCATAATTTAATATCAGTTCAATAAATTTTAATTCTTTTAAACGAAACACTTATCATATTCCATAATTCTTACATCACAGAGAAATTACGTCTAATTAAACGATACAGCGAATTTCATGACAAAACCGACTAATTTTCATTTGACAATAAGCCACGATATAGATCATTCTTTTTATAATATCGATTCCATTATATCGTGAATCCAGCTTATGATTATTAGAACGCTACTATTATCGAAGAAGTCTACCAATTTGATACATGATGCTTTTGTTAGAAACTTCTCCACTGTTTTTGCAACAAAGTCGACATAAGTATACCACAGGAGAGAAGCATTTTCTGATTTTAATGTCACTCTATAACTAAACAGAAGGATTTATAACGAAAACGACCTGTTAGGCTCAAATATGTAAAGCGTTATTAAATGGAGTTGATAAGTTGGCAAAATTTTGTGAAAGTAAAAAGTAGAATTACGAATATAGGTATTATTCAAATATTATGGCAGCGATATCCGCAACAAATTTTTGGCCTAGACCATTCTTTTTCTACAACCTTCAAATATAATAATCTTCCAAGGAATTCGATAAATTCCTCCGCTCGTACGCTAAAAATCGATGGTTTCCAGTTATTTATTTGGTATAAAAGAACGCTCACTTTCCACCATTGTGCCATTATACTGGTCGCACTAGAGCCTTGAATTTTGACACTTCTGTCGTTATATCCGGCCTCAACCGAGGGCCATCAACCCTTAACAATGGTGCTTATCCTTTCGCACGACTGGAAGGGTTGAGTATTCGATTTTGTTCTAATCGACACGTCCTACCCTTCGCGTTCTTCTCGTCTTACACTGCAGACGACAGTGATTTCTGTATTGTTGTTCGAGCACAATTGCCGAACGAAAATAAACGAAAGCGAACATGGCTGGTGGTGTCTGATGCGAATCGTACTTAACGTCCAACGATTCCAGGCCTCTTCGAGGTAGTCGAAGAGAGAAAATTGACAACCACTTGGTAAAATCCTTTATCTTCTTCTCGGAGTATTACTTCGATTTTTCTTCGTTTGCTAACGGTTAGGTCTCTGCTTCGACTAATTCTATAAATTCAGCTCGCAAATAATTCCGCAAGACCGGAAGAAAATTCTCGATTTCTCTGTTACTAAATATTCGCATATTACTATCGTATATTGCTATTTAGTCGATTCAGATTTCGGTTCGATTACGTGCCGAGATTTCTTTAAAGATCTCGCTGAGTAAAAGATTTTCGTCACGAAACGAAGCCGATTACTGGCAATAATTTTTCACGCTCTCGATTCTCGCGAACGGAATCCTCGATTTCGCGGTGTTGCTCTTATGACAAGCGACGACGACTATTCTTCTCCACGTTTCATAAATTCGCGCGATCGAACTGCGACAAACCTTGGCAAGCCTTCGCTATTATCGCTTCGGGATCGAGACGGCGAATATTCCATGGTTCTCGAATCGCTTGCTTGATTTTTCACAGTCAGATGAGATCTAAAAAGAGGAGAAGGCAAAAAAAAGAAAAAAAAGGGAAGAAAGAGAACGAGAAATATAGCGAAAAAAGGAAAAGGGCTGGAAACGCGGAAAAAAGAAAAGTATACCACAGAGGAAAAAGAAAGCGATTCACGATGCAACGAGATTCTTTAATCTCGTGCGTCGTTCGGTACGTATCTGTGACAGATGTTCACACAGGTATCTGCACGCCTATCGAGTTTCGGTTTTATGCTTTTTAATCTTTCGGTCGTGGGGCTAAAAGAATCGTCGCTGGTTCTGCTCTTTTCTCTCTGTTTCTCGTTCGAAATCATCTTTCTTTATTCCTATGTACGTTTGCTCCTTTCTTTCTCGAAATATGCAAAAATAAGCGCGATACGAGACGAAGTGGAAGAAGGATCGGAAAGAGAAAGCATCGTGGAAAGAGCAGTACACGGGCCCGTACATCAGACGAGCCGCATTCGTTAAAATATTCGTATAAAGGAACCGTCAGCATTTGTGACTGTGATTGCGACGAAATAGAACGACGGAACAATTTAGTGCTTTTGCGTACGTTATGCAGTAACGATATAAAGATAAAAGAGGAAATGCTCGAAGAATAGAGGAAAGAAAGAGAGAAGCGGAAAGCAAAAGTAGTTCGTTGATGGTAATGAAAAAGGCACAATTGGTTTCGAATAAGTTGAGTACGAATTGTTCCATAAAAGTGGTGGAATAATGAAATTGAAGTAGCAATTGTATAAGAATAATCGTTAGTTTTTCTATTATATACAAACAATTAGCTACATTAAACGTATTAAACTTGCAAGAGATTCAAGGACGATCAGAGCATTCCTATTGACGGATTTTGTATAATTTATTGTTCGTAAATAGACTGCCAATGTTTATGCCTTTGAAGGAAACTGAAACAGCGAAAATGT